CTGGAAATTAGAAGATCCCAAGGGAGACTGGAGAGATTAACTCTCTCTTCTCTCTCACTTTCACCAATTCTACCTCTCACCTAAACATGAAGCATTCGTCCCCACCAATAAAGAGAGTTCTATACCAGTGGATTTTAAGGCATAAGTTACATACAAATACACATACCCACACACAAATGCATGCACACACATATTTAAGGTTATCACAATTTTCTTAGTGACTAGGATTTATTTTCTATATTCTTTTTTAAGGCAATAAGGGTTAAGTGACTTGCCCAAGGTCACACAGCAAGTAAGTGTCAAGCGTTTAGTCTGAGGCCAGATTTGAACTCAGGTCCTCCTTACTTCAGGGCCAGTGCTCTATCTACTGCTCCACTTAGCTGCCCCAACTAGGAGTTATTTTCATAGAACCAGAGACACCAATGATGTATGAGTCATCATTTTACTATGGCACACTAACTAGAATAATGAAAGTTTGAAGGTCTAAAATGGAACACTAGGGAGCAGAGCAGCAAAGGTAGAGCATTCCATAGAGCAGCACCAAAGGAAGGGGATTTTGAAACTAATAATACCACTAGCATTAATCACCATAATTTTGTGTGAAACATTCTGCTTATGGTAGAAAGAAAGATAAGGTCAGTTATTCTCCTTTGGAGAGATTGGCCTTGGATTTTTTGTATCTAGGTTCTACCAACTTGTCCAGAGCTGTAAGTCATAAATGAATTAAGGATGTATGAGTCCTTTGTCTCTCCCACAAGAGGCAGCTACTCCCTCTCTAGTGCCATGACGTTTTTTAGAAATAGAAAACCAATCCCACTTTCTCAGATACCACAAGCAAGGGAACTAACCAGTGGCCAAAAAATATTCCATTTTCATTTACAGCTTCATAAGCACAATTCAGTAAGCAGAAACCTATCAATTTTTGATAGGTTAATATAATTTTTAGAAGAAATGATTTCAAGGGACAGCCATATGGTGCAATAGATAGAGCACAGGCCCTGAAGTCAAGAGGACCTGAGTTTAAATCCGGCCTCAGACCAAATACTTAACACTTACTACCTGTGTGACCCTGGGCAAGTCACTTAACCCCAATTGCTAAATAATAGAAAAAAGTAAAAAAAAAAGAAATGATTTAGAAGAGTGTGGCTAGCAAGACACTTATGGCAAAGAAAGAAAATGAATGAATAAAAATGAAATTATATGGGAAACTGGCATTCCATCCCTGGAGAACACAATCTACTCAAAAGGCATATATACATGTTAAAAAATGACACCAATGATAGACTATTCCAGTTCCATTTGGAGCTGTCTATTAGTTTATTAAGGATTTCAAAATTTGTTTTATGAGTAGCAACAGAAAATTTGATGAGAAAAATGAGGTAATGTTTTTTCTCAGAATATTCATTTGTGAAATAAGGTTTTAGTGAAGGGATTTGAGAAATGAATATAAGGTAGATTTTTTTTAAAATAAGAAACTACGTCATGAGTCACTCAGTTGAAAAGCATAGAGAATAGGATATTCTGCTCTGTTTATTGTTTGTTGGATACAAAAAAAACCAACTAAAACTTTTGAATTGGCAGAGCAAAACAAATTTACTGTCTCCCTTCCCAAAGAGATTTTCCCATGTCTATGTTAAGATCACATAAGAGCCTTTGATAAATAGAACCTTAACTCTATTCAGCCATTCCTCATTACACACATCAATCAAAGAATAAGACAGCATATATGATCATCAAAGGTGTGTGTTACTGTCATGGAGGATGTACTAGACAAGACCCAAATGGAAATGAATCCCAAAATCATAGATTTATATTTGAAGGGGCCCTAGAGTTCATCTAATCCAACTCCCTCATTTTACAGATGAACTGATTTTGTTAGAAAATGTAGAAACATAAATTGATATGTAGGCTGTAACTTTCTGTAGTCATGATCAATATTAAATAAGTAGTATAAGTGCCTCCCCCTTCCACAAAAGAATGCCAATGTGTTTACCATGCTTAGGTATTTGTATGTACTTACGTATACACAGTATTTCTCCCAATGTAATATGAGCTAAAGAACAGGAATTGTTTTAGTTTTATGCTTGAATCCCAGGGTTTACCCCATGGCTTGGCACACATATAATGCCTGATAAATGCTTATTGATTGATCTATCAAGAGATATCACAGAAGAAATATATGAAAACAAAAGGAAATAGTCTTGTTTGTGGTAAGTGATAACAGATGAATAGGCCAAGTTTTGTGGGACCCAGGAAACATAAAACAACACAGAGGAAAGCTTACAATATGTTTGGTAGATGACCTATAAAGGAAATGTAGGGAAAAAATGGAAAAGAATTAGCCATAGTGAAAAGATATGGACAGATTGCAAATTGTGCTGAGATAGAAAATACCCAGACTGATCAATAAACAGATCAATAGAAACATTAACACATAACTATTTGGTTAACACTCATTCCATGAATGGAATATATATTTTCCAATATAGTTGAAACATTTCTTCAAAGACAAAATTCCCTATGTTGCTAATAATTGAATTTTTTTAGATATGAATGAAATTAGCCTTTTAGATATGATCCAAAAAACTCAAATAGCTAAAGATGAGAAGCTAAGAATTTCTAAACCTAATATTTTTTTGACTCTGTGTTAAATCACAGTTATGTTTCCCAAGGAAGAGTTTGAAAGTAAGCATATAGCAAATGTCTATAATATTGAGAAGAAGGAATAGAGGCAAAGACCAAAGCTGCTTTAAAATGAGACAAAAACTTATTAAATTGAAAAGCCTTCAGAGAATCATATTGCAAGCTAGAGACATGGAGACTATTGCTAAACATGAGGGGATGGACACTCTATAAGGGGTTCAAATTCACATCATCTGTATTATTTGGAAAATAATAATGGGAAGGGAAGATAGCTTATTTATTGACAGCAAACAAAAGAAAAATTAATATAAGCACATTCTAGGATTTTCTGGAACATGCTTTTAACAAAAAATGGAGCCAAATGGAGCCTTGTCTCCAGGTGGAGTTTTTTCTCCCTGAATGACACAATAATAGCAATAGTAAATAGCAATGACAACAAAAAAAGGGATATCTTTTGAGGTGCCTCCAACTTTCTCATGGAAAATAAACTGAAAAGTAAACACATTTTTGGTGTTGTTTTAATGACCAGTCTTTCCTACAGAATATGAAACAAGCAATTATACAGTCAATGACAACCTTATGTGAGATCTCCCCACTATCTACTCCCTCCTGAGGAAGCCCATTCCACTTTAAGATAGCTCCAGTTATTAGAAAGCTTATTCTTATAATGAGCTAAAATTTGCATTTTGCCTCTCCCACCCTTTGCTTCTAATTCCAAGCTCTGAGACAAAGCAGACTGTTCCTAAGCCCTCTTCCAGTACTTGAGGATAGCCTATAACTATATGTTAAATAGAAGGACAATTTTGTTTAGAACATCACCATGCTACATATTTGGAGACAGATGATGTGTATTTGAATCTCATTTATGATTCATGCCACCTGGGTGACCTTGGACACATCAGTAAATTTGTGTGTTTGGCTGTAATAACTCTTTAATCCATCTACTAAGATTTAGAATGTTAGAAATCAGTTCAGGGGCTGTCCATACACATGAAAGTATATCTGTACGCATGAAAACCTTCTGCAGTGCTGAAGACAGAATCATCTTTCATAAGAGACAAAGGAGCTAGTAATGTAACAGGTTTCAGAATCAGAGATATTAAAGCTAAGCAGTAAAGCCCCCACCCACCCCACAATGCCAGCCCTAGATATTATGTTACCATTAATGCAAAGCAAGATTATATTACCTTTTTTTGGAAAGTCACTTTTGGTGAGCTTCAAGAAGAAATTACCAACTCTTTTGCTCTTTTTTCTTTTTCTTTTTTTTTTCTTTCTTTCTGGCTATTGCCACACCTTTGACTGCCTTTAGCTTACTGAGAATCTCCCCTGTTAGAGATCTTGAGGGAATCTAAAAGTGATGAAATTAAAATTATTTCTAATTTTTTTTCTTGTTAAAACTGTGATCAAATCTTTGGGAGAGGTGGTTGAAATTGTTGACATAAATGGCATATGGGATTTGTTTTGGGATTGATTTTGATTATCCATGAGATCTCTTTCTCCTATTACTATTACACAATTGAGAGTAACAAAATCTGCATATAAATAGTATTCTGGTGGCCTGGGAGAGAGTCTAATTTACTCCTAGAAACTATCTTAAGAACTGAAAGAATCCATTTCATTATACAAATTTATAATGACTAGAGCATGCTTTCTTTTAGTAACAGAGTTGAGGGGTCAGTCTCTGCATGCTCCCAAGTTAACCCACTTTAAAAATCAGAATATGTTATTTAAACTTATTCAGTAAACAACACAATCACAAATTGCCAAATAGTCTCTTAAATCCCAATAGATGGGGTGATAACAGTCCTATGAGGAAGTGGGTTGCTGGCCAATATGTTGAGAAGTGTGGCATTAGCAGCCATACAGAAATGGGTACTGCAATATTCAACATTTAAATATAAAGGGTATTTCTTCACCAGCAGAAATGGTCTTTCTCAAGCTACTTTTGTTATTATCGCTGTTAGAGTGTACAACGTATTTTGTCACTTGTCTTATTTATACTTTTCAAATGTTTGATAGTATCACTTATATTGGAGGTAATTAAGAGCTATGAAGGAAGTAGCAGTTAATGTTCATGATTAAAATATAAGCTTATTTTTGAAAAGTATTTAAGCAAGCAGAATTTTTTAAAATTATTTGATCATTTCCCAAAGAAAATTCCCATCTCCACCCATTTCATTCAGCAAATAGAAATGCCCTAAAACTTCTTTATGCTTCAAATAAAGAGATTTAAAATTGTCTGCTATATAAATCCTACCCATTGAAATTTAGAGAAACATAATTATTCTGTATTTGTGAGAGGGAATTCTGTAGTTTCAGGTGTGTCATTTTTATTTTAGATTATTTTTTAGAAGAATATGGATTTCAGAGGGCATGGATTTGTTAGTCAGCCTAGTCAGTAAAAGTCTCATGGAAAAAAATTGTGTTTGTTAATTTTCATTTATAGGTTGTTTTTAAAATAATGGGGTTGGGGTTGCTATGATAAGAGTAAGACATCAAAGTGTTATTGTACAATGTACTACAATTTTCAACTTCATTCAGAAGCAGAGGTAGAGAAAAATAATCACTTTCTACTTTGTTCAATTTGTTATTAATTAAAACCTGATAAGAAAGTATATTTTTAATTAAGATTTAGATGTTTTGGCTTAGCTATTAATGTGTGTGAGAATTTTTCTGTGTACATATATATATGCATATGTAATGGAGAATGTTTCTGCATCTATGTATGTATACATAGAAAAAATGAATATATATTATCTATATGTGTGTGTGTGTGTTTATGTATATGTATATTGGAGAAAAGTTTTGGCTGCAAATATTTCCTGAGTAATTTGTTTTTCATTGTTTTCCCTGTCAAGCAAAATAAGTTATGTAAGACAAATACAGCTTTTGAAAACTTGTTTCTAGAATGTTACCTTCCACAAATTTTTAAAAATTGCTGACCTGTAAGGTTCTGAGTCATTTTATTCATTTTTTTTCTAGTTGTGAAACCCAAGAAAACCAATTTTGTTTCCAAAACAGTTACTGGATATCATATAAGCAGGAGAAATTTATCGACAATGTCAAAAGGTAAGATAAACTATTTGAAAGTACTCTTCATGCTCTAAATTTGGTCATCTTTGTAATTTTCATTATAATAAATTATACATATTCAGTTAAGAATATAAGAAATTTTAGTTTTAAAGACTAATAATGAAGCACTACTTATTCTTTACCCTGACTCATATAGTAAGGCAGATAAACTCCACAAATGGGATGAAATATTCAATCATTTTGGTAAAAGAACAAAATGAATCTTAAAGAAGATCAAATAATTATAGATACCATGAAAAAATAAGGAAAGAGAAAATCTTATATCACTATAATAGAAACATACTAAAATTGGAGCTGAGCAAGTCCAGTTAAAAAAAAGGGGGGCAAATCAACTATCAACTGCCATAACAAATGATTATTTCATTCCTTGATTTGACAAAGCAGTGAGCTATGATTTTAGTAAAACTTTTATATCACTTGGCTTTGATAAAATGCCTCAGTTATGGATAAATAATGGATTCCAAAATCACGATTGATAACAATTACATATAGTATTATATTATAAAATATTTGATAAATAAAGAACAATTACACTATTACTATTTCATGTAGTTTAGGTCAATTTATATCATTTTATATAATTGAACATTGAGACATTTGTTCACAATATACTTTATTAGCAGAAATACAGATCCTCCAGTTCTTAGTGAATTGTCACCTGAAATGAGTCTCCTGTAGATGTTAGAATTAAAATGATAATTATGGTAAATAAATTTAATGGAAATATTAATAACTTAAAATTATATAAGACTAAAAGAACTACAATTTTTTTCCCTTACAAATTTCTAGTGAGATAAGCAATGGAAGTTTAATTAGCTCTTTTTGTATATGAAGAACTTGAGATTCAGGAAGGTCGTGATATTTCTGAGGTCCCACAAATCGTAAGTGCAGACATTGGGATGTATTTAAAAACTAACTTATTTGGGGCAGCTAGGTGGGGCAGTGGATAGAACAACAGCCCTAAAGTCAGGAGGACCTGAGTTCAAATCCAGCCTCAGACCAAACACCTGACACTTACTAGCTGTGTGACCCTGGGCAAGTTACTTAACCCCAACTGCCTACACACACACACAAAAAACCCAAAACAAAAAATAACTTTTTTTTCCCTCAAACAATATAATCACAGAGTCACATAATCACAGCATTTCAGCATTAAAGAGGATGAAGGAAGCTTTTAGTATAGTACACACCTGAAAAAGAATTCCCACTACAGGCTATCCAGCAAGTGAGAGAGACCCTCATGGAGCAACCTGTTTTTATTCAGACGGTTCTAAATTTTAGCAATTTTTTTAAAATTTTGTTTATAGTGCCTAAATCTGGCTCCTTTCAACTTTCACTCTTTTCTGTTAGACTTTCCATCCAAAAGTAAGCTCAAATGAAACATAACATGGAAAGTGTTTTATAAACCTTATAGCACAGGACACATGGTAGGAACAAAGGGAAATTATCAAGAATAAAATTATTAATGTGCAAGGAGAAACAATTCTTCTCTTTTTGACAGTTCCAGAAGATGTTGATACACTTAAAATTCTCCATCACTATTCTGTGCTAGGCTTCTGATCTGTTTCCCAAACTCTTCATCTATTTCCTTTTTTTTCTGTCTGTAGTATATTCTGATAATGATATTATTTCTCTTTCTGCCTCCATTGTTTACTCTTCAACTGTTTTCTACCATGATTTTCTCGCAGAAGTATTATCTTCTTAATACATAATGCTGTTCTATCTCTCTTTTTATCTATTGCTTCTGAATATGGTATGTTCTTTCTCTCTAGGATTTCCTTCCAACAATTTAATCACAGATGTTGGTCCAAACAAACAAATGAATAAAACAGAACAAACAACTTCTTCCAGAGCTAGAGTCATATTCAATTCTTAAGAGTCATTTCAACAAGTCTTATTAATATTTAATAGGTTAAATTCACTTCTTTGCATTAGGCACTATAATTCATCTTTGTGGTTACTTGATATGATGTATATAAACATAAGAGGATTGAAAATTTAGAAATGGGTGGGACCTTGATGGTTATCTAGTCCAAGTTTTTTATTTTTTAGATGTAAAAAGCTGAGGCCCAGAGGAGTGACTTGTCCATGATCACACTATTAACAGGTGGTAGAGCCAGGATTCAAACCCAGATTCTTTGAAGCCAAATTCAGCACTGTTTCCACTGCACATTCTGTTTCAATTCTCTGGCTACAGGTTTTATTACTAGTGTATTTCTAGGATGTTGTCCTTAATAATTTCCTCATGTGTATGTTTTTCCTCTTCCTACACATTAGCTATTTTCTATGGTTAATAGCTTGGTGGGTACAGATAGACTGTATTCTCCTTCTCCCTTTCTTGTCAGTTCATATTTCTCTCTGATACTGTAAGGATGACAATTTTAAAACCATAGATATTAGGATTAATAAATTAAATTCAACCTAAGTAATTTAAACTCTTGGGAAGAGGTTTCTTTATAAATATGAAATCATCCTCACATCACATCTCATTTATTCCTTTTATTTAAAAGAAAGTCAGTATCACATGATCTGCTGTAAGGAAAAAAAAAAGATGAACGTGATAAAGCAAACTCAGGCCAAAGTACGGGGTTTTTAAGGTTCAGTTTTAATTTACCTTGTAGTTGTGAAATTTTCATTAACAAAACAAAAACAAAAACTTTTTCACTTAGATAAGCAGCATGTTACTGAAGAAAGCTTGCTGGACCCGGAGTAAAGAGTGACCTTGATTCAGTCCAGCCCATTGATCTTGCTAGTTATGTGATTAGTATTGGCAAGCCTCTGAATCTCCAGGAGCCTCAATTTCCTTGTCTCTAAAATGCATATGATGGTGGTGATGATGATGATCATCATCATGGTGATGGTGATGGTGATGGCAATGGTGGTGGTGGCTGCTGCTTCTTATGTTTACATAGTGCTTTACATTTTGCTCAGCATTTTACCTTTCCAGTTTTCTTGCTTCTTACAACCTCCACCCCAGCCCTGGCTCTATATATACTCTTTGATACAGTGACAGTGGCCTCCTTTCTGTTCTTCCTATATGATACTTCATCTCCCAACTCAGGGCATTCAGAGGCTGTCTCTCATGCCTGGAATGTTCTTCCTTCTCATCTATGCCTACTGACTGCCCTGGCTTCCTTGAAGTTTCATCTAAAAATCTCACCTTTTGCAGGGAGCCCTTCCTGAGTCCTCTTAGTTCTAGTACTTTTGTACTGTTGATTTTCTACTTGTTCTGTACATAGTTGTGTATATCACCTACCAATTAGATTGTAAACTCCTTGAAGGAATGTCTTACCTTTCTTTGTATACCTAGTACATAGCACTGTGCCTGGTATATAGTAGACACATAATAAAGATTTATTGACTGATGGGAACTATTCATACATTGTCTTATTTGTTATATAGTTACAATGGACCTAATTTGCATCAAATGAGATAGTATACTTTTCAAACTTTAGAGCTTTTTTATAAACATCAGCATTTATGAATAGGTTTGTTAGTTACATTTAGTGAGTGGTTACAGCTCAGTCGGTATAACATGTAGAATAAAAATGAAATGGTTCCTGACTTAAGAAATATCTAGGGGAAACAGAGCTTTGAGTATTATCTATATTGAGGTGACACAAGCCTCATGTCAGATCTTACTGGCTCTAAAACATTCCTGTTTACAGGTCATCATGTTTGTGCTGATGGCTACAAAATTATTATATCTTTGAATTAAGAGGGCAGAAGTACCCCACTCAAAGAAGCCCCAGTCCCTGAGTCCACATAAAGTCCTTAAACTTCATACTTTTGTAAATTAATGTTCTTCAGACTCTTCATTTCATGAATTTAGAATCATCATTGAGTAGGGATAATCTTGGAGCTGTATACAATACAACAATGGATTTAAATTATTGGTGCTTATTATCTCTGATTCTGAATCACTTTTCTCATTGTTGATGCTCTTTCCCTATGTACTTATATGTTCATATGTTATTCTCTCCTTCCCAGTAGAATATAAGCTCCTTAAGTTCAATGGCTGTTTTTTTTCTTCATATACTTGTATCCCAAGCGTAGAGCCCTATGCACAAATTTCTTCTCCCCCCTCACCTTCTTGATTAGTATTGAAAGAGTGGCAACTTGGTACAGTGGATAGAGAACTAGCTTTAGAGCCAGAAAGACTTGCGATCAAGTCCCACCTCTAACACAAACTAGCTCTTCAACCTTGCACAAATTACTTAACTTCTTTTTGCCTTAGATAACTCTCTAAGGCTACCAGTTATAGACAGGATGATGACCTGAATTGATGGAAGGAGTTTTCTTTACCAGAGAATTCCTTATACCAATGAAATAACAAGTCTAGTTCATGTCCCTATACCTTGTAAAACTAGAGGCTAAGATTAGATATGAAGTTAAAAGACCTAGAACATAAAAATCTGAAAAACTTATTGTTATCAAAAGACTTCCACCTTGTGATGTATACAATAGGATGGGAATATTTATATAAACATAAATTTTCTATACTATTATATAATATTCATATATTTATATATCTAGTCTTATTTTTTTGGTAAGTATAACTGATAATAATAATTAGACTTTAAGGTTTGCAAAATACTTTACATATATTATATTCTCAAGTGTAAGAATTTGTACCTCATAGCTACCCTGAGAAGTACATGCTACTATTATTGCCATTTTATAGATGAGGAAACTAAGGCTGAGAGGAGTCAAGTGACTTTTCCAGGATTACACAGCTAGCAAGCATCTGAAGCAGGATTTGAATTTAGGTTTTCCTGACTCCAAGTCAAACACTCCACTGAATCACCTACTTTTCTAGCTTGTTTTGCTGTGGACTTTATAATTTAAGCCCTGTGCTCCCAAAAATTTCAAATAATTTTATATTCACCATAGCCAAATCTATGGTATTAAGATATTTCGGCCTTTTAAAACAAGGGTGAGGATGATGAAAGAATAGGAAAAAACAGTAGAGTTGTATTTTTAGTGTTTCAAAGAACAGAAATTTGCTAACAGATAATGTATTTGTGAGATGAATGAAAAATTGGAGAGAAAGATTTTCTGGGTAATTAACAACAAATTTATTCATTAGGCTTGCTTATAATCAATAAATTGATGGTCAGTGATTTCTCTTGGTAACCAAAGATACCTGATGGAGACACTGAATACCTTGAATATTGTTTTCAAAGGGAATTCCCTTGACAGGAGAAATCAACCCTGATTGATAAACGATTAATAAGAGGATGGGCATATCAATGAGGCTGTGGGCTAAAAGTCTTCGGCTCCTCCTGCTGAGAACTTGACTTGGTCATGAGACTCAACCACCTCCAGCAATCTGAACAAAGGAATCCATCATTACCCAGACCACTCTGGTTGATTTTCTCCATGATCTGGGTTACCCTAAACTCCAATGTAGGGGTATAAGAACATGGGCTTAATGCTTCCATTCTCTAGATATGTTCATTATTCTTACAGAAGTCAAGTGTTAGAACTGGCCCAAATCTTAGAAACCACCTGTTTCATGCACTTCATTTTATAGTTGAACAAACTTTGACCCAGTGAGGTCAAGTGACATAGTGTTCAGAGGACCAAGATTTATCTTTATTTAAATAAAAATGGAACAGAAAAAAGTTATCTGGGGCAGTAATGGCAAATTAAACTATAATAAAATTTTAATTATAATTTTAAGTATGCAATATCAATGCAATACCACGCTTCTTTATTAGCAGAGGTAAGCACATAGATCATTTTTTTCCAAAGGCAGACCAAATTAGTACTCATTGTACTTAGAAATGAGTACCTTCTGGAAACCTCTGCTGCTTATGCCTAGGACTCATTGCCAGAGAAAGGAGTGGGAAACAGACTTATTTTTCACTCCCTTCTAGAACATTCATGAAGTCCTGGACTGAGTGCATTTCTTCTCTACTAAAATTAATGCCTCCTTAGGAAGGAAATTGAGTCTTTGAGAAGTTGAATTACTTGCCAAAATCAAACTGTTGGTCAGGATCAGAGCCTGAACTCAGGTCTGAGTCTTCTGACTCTAAATGCTCTTCCCACAATTTCATGATGCCCTTAGAAACCTTTGATTAATCCAGATCACAGTGTCTGCCCCTTGTCTGAACACACGGTTTAATACTTCTTTGTTCTGTAATCAATTCATCTATTAGTTTAATCTTCCAAAGTGGATTGTCAGGAAGGAATTTAAGCATTTGTTTCTTTGAGGGTCAGAATAACATTGTATACATATTCTGTACTCTGTATAGTACCCAGTGTTGACAGAGAACACCAAGATAGGAGAGAGGGAGAGACAGAGACAGACAGAGAGAGAGAGTGAGACGTACAAACAGACAGATAAAGAGGCAGAGACACACAGAGACAGAGGTAGAGAGATACAGAGACAAAGGGAAATAGAGATAGAAAGGCTGGTTTATTGGTTAGGGGGCGCCTTGAAGCCACAGAGATATGGGTTTAAGCCCTGCATTTGATATACACTGGTTGTATGACCCTGGGCAAACCATTTAACCTTTGTGTTTCAGGTAACTAAATTAGAACTATAAGTTTCAGGGAAAGTGTCAACCTGAATTGGTAGAGGAAGTTTTCTTACATGGAAGTTCCCTATGAAAATGATGTAACAGTTCTAGTTTCTAACATTAACAGCTCAAAACTGTGCGCAAAGAAAGTATCCATTAATGTCAATTGACTTTTGATGCCAAAATATGCTCAGACTTCCATAATCATTGAGTAATTGATGCAATTTTTAAAAACAAATTTTTTTCTTTAAATAATGAAGTAAATTCATATAAAGTGAATTATTTCAAAGCCTTTATTATTATATTATTATATATATGAATTGAATTATGTGTATAATACGTATGTACTACATAATATTATATCTTTTAGTGTATATTTATTGCATGCCAATTATACAGATAGTGCTAGATTCCATGGGAGAGAATGAGTATAGGACACCATCTTTCCTTTAAGGGGCTTCCAATTTAGTTGGAGGGACAAAAGACAGACATGTGGAAAGTTAAATCACAGTGAAGGACTAAATAATAGGCCAAAACAAACATAGAAGCAACTTCACAAGATGGTGTGCAACAAATTGAGAGGTGGATTTTACTGAAAATGATGTGATAAGGGTTTAGAAGGATTATTACTATGATTATTTTCTTCTCCACATCCATTCATTTATGAGATTTCAAAAAAAACCACACATAATTGACACATCTCAAATCTCTTCACGATCACAGAGCAAGCTTCCCTCAAAATGCTCTTGTCCAGGTGTACAGGTACATGAAGTACAGAGGAGAAAAAAATCCATTTGTGGTGTTCAAGGTGGTGAAGAAGACAAGCGAAAAGGTGATAATATTGAAAGTTTCATGACTGATTTTTCGAATGTTTATGCCTCAGGTAAGAATGAAGGGATCAGATGCCTTTGCCCTTTGTCACTTTTTTGTGGTATAAAAGAATCTCAATGTTTTGATGTATACTGCTGTGATAAAAAAATGTATTTCATGTAAAACCACAAGGTGCACCATCCATTCCTTACAGAGGGGAGAGAGAACGATGGACACAGCACATTGCATTATACTAGCAGATTCAATTGCTGTGATTTTTTCCCTTATTTTTGCTATCTTTCTCTTTTTTCTTTTTTTCTTTCTCATTCTTTTTTCTTTCTTTCTTTGCTACTTTCTTTCTTCCATTCTCCCTTCTTCCTTGTTTCCTTCCTTCCTTCTATCTTTTCTTTTTATAGGAGATGGCTCTCTGAGTAGGAAATGGAGTATTGATATATTTGGAAATTGAAATAATCTAAAACCAAAAGTTATCCATAAAGATTTTTTTAAATTTAAAATCATGTGTTGCAAATTATTTAAAAAGGCAAATCAGCAAAATTTCTTGCAAAGTAGATATTGAGATAATCTGTTCCCATATTCACCCCTTCACATACTGATCATGAAGAGCCAATAAGGCACGAATCACATTAAATTACTAAATAAGTATCTACTAAGTATCTAACATGTGCCAGGCACTTGGATGGTTCAGTTGTTCCAATTGTATGCAGTAGATGGAACACAATGGATGGGCTGCTTGAATGTTGATCTCAGACTAATTTTAGAATTGTTCTGTTATGGTGTGTCAACAAGACTAAAGTGCATCAATAAATGTCAAAGTCCAGAATTCATCTAAACTTTTGGTTTCTACTTCATAGTTAACATGCCACATTATCCTAAATCACATTTACTAGTACAATTACAAGTAATCCCTGATAGATTTCCTTGGGAACAATTGTTAGCTAAGTCTGAAATAAAATCTTGATATTTCTTTGATTTTTTTTCCAGATTTATTGCCATCTAAACATGGAAGTGAATTCACAGATCACTTTCTGCTAGAGGTGGTAGACATTCTTTTGCATTACATCAGAAAAACCTTTGATGAGAAAAGTAAAATACTGGACTTCCATCATCCTCATCACCTTCTTGAAGGTTTGGATGGATTCAACTTAGAACTGTCTGACCAGCCTGAACCATTGGAACAGCTGCTTGTTGATTGCAGAGATACATTAAAATACGGAGTTAAAACAGGTGATATGTAAAACAGGAAGGTACATTTTCATATTGGGAAGTACTTTTGGAGAGTAGAGTATACTATACTACCACTATTAAGTTTATTGCCAAATGTACATTTTCAAGAAATCTGAATATATATGTATCCATGTATATATGCAGATATATATAGATATATCTGCATATATATATATACATATATACATGCATATACATATATGTATATAATCTCATTTAGCATTGAAAGAATGTTACTTGGGCATTTTGATGGAGATATGGTTTCATCAATGCATTTACTTACTCCACCATATCTACTTACTCTACTATAGACCATTCTAACCTGTACCTTTTGTTTAGAAGGTCTTAACTATGACTTTTCTTATTCTTTATTATAATTATTTAAGATTTTCCATAAATTTTTTATAGTCAATTTACCCAACATTCTGAGCTTTTAAAGATGTATATTTACAAAAACAAGTGAAGTGCATGATCTGTATGTTTTTTGTGAATACCACAAATATCTCTGCTTTCATCAGTGTGAGATACTTCTAGCATGGGGTCTCCCTACTTAAATACCTACTGCAACTTCTCTATGACATGGTAGCTAAATATTGTTGAGTTGAATGAGAAACACAGATGTGAAATAACACAACAGCTGTCAATGTCAGAAATCATACTTTTATTCAACTAGATTTTTAAAAATGTTTTAAAATGGAAAGTTAAATTATACATAAATACCTTACTTAATAATGTGCCCAAATTGAATGTTCTTATTAAACGAATTCATATATTTATTTAATGGTACTCCCTCAGGAAAAGGGCTCTCCTAAATCCTTTCTCACCCTGTCAATTGTATGGTGTTATTTAAAAAAGTCTAAATAACCTATTTATTTTTTTTAGTGAGATAGAACTTTTAATTTTTTTCTATTAATGTTTTTATTTCCTCTCCTTCTTGCCTCCTGCCATCCTATCCTCCTACCCCTAAATGGAAAAGAAAAATAAATATATAATGCATAAAATATGCAAAAAACCCTTCTAACATATAGCATATGCATAATCAAGCAAAACAAATTCCCATTTTCTCCACATCTAAACATGTATATTTCATTTTGCATCTCGAGTCTTTCACCTCTCCCTTAGAATGTGAGTAGCACTCGATTTAATCTATTGGTTTAATTTAAATGGTTTTATCAAGTTTTTCATTGAATTTGTCCATACTCATTGCTTTTTTCCCCTTTTAGTTAATTTTAATTAGTTTAATTTTAATTAACTTTTTCCCTGCCTCTACCATTTATTTTGTTAGCTTTTTCTTTTTCTGCACCTTCATAAGAAGGATTTCTTTTCCTTTTTCATTTCATTAATTTTCCTCTTCCTCCTCTTCCTCCTCTTTCTCATCCTCTTCCTATTCTTCCTTCTCTTCTTCTTGTGCTTCTTGTTCTTGTTCTTCTTGTTCTTCTTGTTTTTCTTCTTCTTCTCCTCCTTCTCCTTCTTCTTCTTCATCTTCTTCTTCTTCTTCTTCTTCTTCTTCTTCTCTCTCTCTCTCTCTCTCTCTCTCTCTCTCTCTCTCTCTCTCTCTCTCTCCCCCCTCCCTCCTCCCTCCCCTCTCATTCTCTCCCTCTCTGTCAATTCTAAATGTTTACTTTTTGATTCATAGTCTGGACACTTATTTATAGTCTGGTGAAATCAATAGATACTTTCTCAGAATAATGCTTTTAAATGTATAAAATAAAATAAATAAAATTACAAAAAAACCCAATTATTCTGAAGTGCAATTACAATACTTTGAAAACTCCCCAGAACAAACAAAAAATCATTGGTCAAGATAAAGTTTAAGAACTACTTATCTGAAATGACATTTTTCTTCATGTCTTTGCACTGACTATCCCTCAATACCTGGAGGGCCTTCCTTTTCACCTCTACCTCTTAGTTTCTCAAGCCATAGTCAAAGCTCAGATCAAATACCAACTTCTAGAGGAGGCATTTCCCATGTTCTTAGCTGCTGTGCCTTTCTTTCTCAGAATACCTTCCATCTGCTCTCTTTTTATCTTGCATGTGTCTAGTTTTAACATGCCTCCATTCATTAGAATGGAAAATATTTAAGTTCAGGGGCTATATTTGTATCTTTAGCACTCTGCCTAGCTTTTAGTGAACAATTAATAAATCTTTGGGTTTGCTGACCAAGTTCTTAAGCCTTGCCTCCTGATAACCTGTGATGCCTCTGTTTTGTTGTTTCTTCTTTGGACACCCTTGCTTTTTCAATCAGGTCTCCAGTGGGCTTGATATGATTGGATTGGCTGGTGAGTGGTTGACAGCAACTGCAAATACTAACATGTAAGTGGGTTTTCCCTACCTTCAGATGCTTTAGTAATGAAACCATCAAAAATACTTATTTCTCTTGAGGCAGTATTTTACTGTGCCCAAAGTATCCCCAAATTCTGAGAGTCCCATCTCCTGGTGTTATTGGGAATATCATGAATCATAGTTCGAATACTTGAGACACTGAAGCCCAGCAAACACACCTCACTCCCTTTTTTATTGTGGTATCATTAGAGCCACCCCATAGCCTGAAAATTATCACCATTTTTGCCATTGATATCCCTAATCTGTCTTCTCCACAGTTTGTACAACCCATCCTGACATCTGAGATATTCATGTTAAGTCATCGAGCCACTCAGTCACCAGATTTTCAGGGGTCAAAACTCCCTGAAAATAAAGTACATCTCCAGAATTGTTTAACTTGAACTTCAGTACCCAAATAACACCAAAGCAAGATAGTAAATCAGTTTATCTCCTATCACCTGACAATACATATTACAGTGTCCAGAAGGCAAGCAGTATATGCTTGTTGAATGAATGAAGAATCACTGAGTGAATGAATGAATGAATATATAGGAACATGTCACAAATATGAATACCTAGTAATTTTGTTCTTTTATGTAATCGACAGTGATGATATATCTTATTTGGCTCTGAAAAACATCATCACTGAGATTCTTCAATAAATTCAGGCTAATTTTCTACCTAAAGGGAAAAAAGTGAATAATGCTTTGTGAATATTTTTTTTCCAGACATTGATAAATAGTTGCATGAGCTACCTACAAAGCAGTTTCATCCATATGTACATATAAGACAGATATTACACATGGACAATGCCATGGGTAAAGGACTGAACGAAGTAATAAAGTGAGACGGATTGCCTTTGGGAAAGTGTCTATTAAAATGACTTCTCACTTCTCCCTGAAATAAAAACAAATCTTCTTAGCATAAATAGTCCTTTGGAGATGCTATATGCCTTTAAGTAATAGGATACAGCAGTCTCCAAAAATTTAATGTTGAGGGTTAGTCAAAAGGCAATGGAGAGGTACATGGTGGGAGAGACTATGCTATAACATTACCAAGTAAGAAATGCACAAGAGAAGCAATGTGAAGGATATGAACAGAGGGATATATAGCTAGAAAAAATTTAGCCCAGTCATGTACCAAGAGCAAAGAAAAAACAACTGAAAGACTGAAAGCTCTATCAGTAGCCACATAATATTAAGAGGCCTAGAAGAAGGCTCCTATAATAATTAGTATACCCCTTCTGAAGTACAAGAGAACATGGACAAAAATCACATGGGATGACAAGGAAGGGATGGATTATGACTTGCATTGCTGGAGAAGATTTCTTCATGAGATTACAGCTCTATAGATAAATCCAGATATACAGTAAGACTAACTCTGTGAGTTACATCAGAAACAATTAACAAGGAGGAGCACTAGATTTATTGAAGTCATTTGCTGTTTTCTTCATTTGTAGCAGAGGCAGTCAGGGATAGTGGATAGAGACCTGGCCTTAAAACCACAAAAAACTGTGTTCAAGTTTTGTCTGTGAAACATACTGGTTGTGTGATCTTGTGCAAGTTGCCTCACTTCTCATTGCTCTAGGCAGCTCTCAAAGACAAAAGATTGCAGGGAAAACATCTACCTGAAGTGGTAGAAGGATTTTCATTACTCAGATTGTATAACTGATACAGTGCTGAGACTGGATTCAGGAAGACCTGAGTTTCCACCTGGTCTCATATATTTAGTAGCTTTGTGACCTTGGGCAAGTCACTTTATCTCTGTTTACCTCAATTTCTTCATCTGTATAATGGGGATAATTGCATCTACCACCCAATGCTGTTATGACAGTCAAATGAGATATTTGTCAAATGCTTAGCCCAGGCCTTCCACTTAGAATTTCTTCCCTCTCTCCTCCTTCCTCCTTTCTCCCTTCTCTTCTCTTCTCTTCTCTTCTCTTCTCTTCTCTTCTCTTCTCTTCTCTTCTCTTCTCTTCTCTTCTCTTCTCTTCTCTTCTCTTCTCTTCTCTTCTTTCTTTCTTTCTTTCTTTCTTTCTTTCTTTCTTTCTTTCTTTCTTTCTTTCTTTCTTTCTTTCCCTTTCTTCCTGCCTTCCTCCCTTTTTATTTGCAATATATTGCTTTAATCTTCTTGCTAACATTTTATTTATATTATTTAACCTAATTCCAAAGTTCCCAGGTCAAGAAAATATTGCAAGAAGCCAGAAAGAAACAATTCAAATATTATGGAGCCACAGTTAGAAAAACACAAGATTTATCAGCTTCTATATTAAAGAATCAGATGGCTTGGAATATGATATTCCAGAAAGCAAAGTAGCTAACAGGACAATTAAGAATAATGTATCCAGAAAAACATCTATATTCTTTACAGAAATTTGTCTGAGATTTTATTTCTTCTTTTTTGCACTTCCTAGTTTAGGCAACAGCACCATGTTTATGTCATAAAAGGAATTTGGTATGACTCCTTTGCATATTTTTCTAAACAGTATATATAATATTGGAATTAAATTAAATGTTTAGTAGAATTTGCTTTTTGTTTTGTTTTGTTTTTGCTAGGCAATGGGGTTAAGTGACTTGCCCAGGGTCACACAGCTAGTAAGTGTCAAGTGTCTGAGGTAAGATTTGAACTCAGGTCCTTCTGACTCCAGGGCCAGTGCTCTATCCACTGCATCATCTAGCTGCCCCCTAGAATTTGTTTTTGAATCCATCTGGTCCTGATGACTTTTTTTCCCCTTGGGGAGATGATTTATGTCTTGTTCAATTACTTTTTCTAAGATAAGATTATTTAAGCATTCTATTTTCTCTTCTGTTAATCTAACTAATTTATATTTTTGTAAATATTGATCCATTTCACTTAGACTATTAGATTTATTGGCAAGGAATTGAGAAAAATATTCCCTAGTAATTGTTTTAATTACCTTTTCATTGATAGTAAATTTATTTTTTCATTTTTATACTGGCAATTTGGCTTTCTTTCTTTTTTGAAATCAAATTAACCAATGGTTTATCTATTTTATTGTTTTTTCTAATAAAACAAGTTCATATATTTTTATTTATTAGTGCAATGATTTTCTTACTTTCAATTTTATTAAACTCTCTTTTGATTTTTCAGGATTTCCAATTTAACGTTTAATTGGGGATTTCGAATTAATTATTTTTCTGGTTTTCTTTTTTTAATTGCATATCCAATTCATTAATCTGCTTCCTTTCTTTTATTGATTTAAACATTTAGAGATACATATTTTCCTCTAAGCACTGCTTTCACAGCATCACATAAATTTTGTGTGTTGTGTATTTGTTGTCATCTTGTTTAATGAAATTATTTATTGTTTCTACGATTTGTTCTTTGACCCACTCATTTTAAGATTAAACTATTTAGTTTCTAATTAATTTTAAGCTATGTCTCTGTGGCCCTTAATAAAATATAAATTTTCTTGCATTGTGATCTGAAAATGATGCATTTAATATTTCTACTTTTCTATATTTGGTTGAGATGTTTTTATGTCGTAATACATGGCCCATTTTTGTAAAGGTCCTTTCTACAACTGAGAAAAAAGATATACTCCTTTCCATTCACATTCAGTTTTCCCCAAAGGTCTAGCATATGTAACTTTTAAAAAATTCTATCAATTTCTTTAACTTCTTTGTTGTTTAATTTTTTTACTAGATTTGCCTGGTTCTCAGAGGGGAAAGTTGAGATTCTCTACTAGTATATTTTTACAGTTTATTTCCTCCTGTAACTTATTTAACTTTTCCTCTAAGAATTTGGATGCTATACTCTTTGATGCATTAGTGTTGATATCAATTAATTGTCTATGGTACCTTTTAGCATGATGTAGTTTTTCTGTGTATCTTTTAATTGGATCTATCTTTCCTTTTGCTTTGTCTGAGAAGATGATTGCAACCCTTGTTTGTATATTTATTTATTTATTTTTGTTTTACTTCAACTGAAGCATAATAGATTCCACTCTAGCTCCTTATTTTCACTCTGTGTGTATCTCTGTTTCAAGTGTGTATCTTGTAAAGAACATTTTGTCAGATTCTCATCTTTAATTATTTTGTTGTCAGCTTCCAATTTACGAATGTTCATCCCATTCATTTTCACAGTTATGATTACTGTGTAATTCTTTCCATCCTATTTTTTTCCCTGCATACCTTTTTTCCTCTCTTTTTACCCTGACCCTCCTCAAAAATGTTTGCTTCTGACCACTGCCTCCCTTAAGCCTCCCTCCCTTCTATCAGCCACCCTTTCTCTTATCCACTTTTCTTCCTACTTCACTGTAGAGTAAGATGAAGTTCTATATCCAAATGAGTTTGTGTGTGATTTCTTCTTTGAACCAATTCTGATTACATTAAGATTCAAATGTTACCAACCACACCCCCATTTTCCCCTTTACTATAAAAGAGCTTCCTTTTGCACCTTTTACGTGAGATAATTTCCCCCATTCATCCCTCTTTCTCATGCCTTAACTTTATTTTTCATTTTGAAACCATTCCGTCATAGTCAACTCAATCCATGCACTCTGTCTATATAGACTCCTTTTAACTTCCCTAGTAATGAGGAATTTTTTAGGGCTTACTAGTATCATCTTCCCATAGAGGAATATAAGGAGTTTAACCATATTAATCCCTTATGATTTCTCTTTCTTGTTTACCTCTTTATGTTTCTCGGATCTTATAGTTGAAAGTCATTTTTTTTTAATTTAGCTTTAGTCTCTTCATCAGGAATGCTTGAAAGTCCTTTATTTTATTATTTTTCCCTTAAGGAATTATACTCAGTTTTGTTGGGCACATTATTCTTGGTAATATATCTATCTCCTTTACATCCCAGAACATCATATTCCAAAACTTCTGATTCTTTAATGTAGAAGCTGCTAAATCTTGTATGATCCTGACTGTGGCTCCACAATATTTGAATTGTTTCTTTCTGGCTTCTTGAAGTATTTTCTCTTTGACCTGGGAGGCCTGGAATTTGCCCATAATATTCATGAG